CTATAGGCCAAGCTGCTGGAGGAGATGGACCAGGAGTTTGGTGTCAGCACTCTGGTGGAGGAGGAGTTCGGGCAGAGGCGGCAGGTGAGGTTTGGGGGCAGTGGGGTTGGGGGGGCACTGCTGTCCTGGTGCTGGGATCCCCGGGTGGGGTGGGTCAGGGCTCCTGACTCCGCTGGACTTGCCCCTCCCTTCTAGGACCTGTACAGTGCCCGGGACCTGCAGGGCCTCACTGTGGAGCATGCCATTGACTCCTTCCAAGAAGGGCAGACTATGATCCTTACCCTTAAGGACAAAGGTGGGTTGAGCTGGGTCCTCTGGTTGGGGACACAGGCACCGCTGATCTGGGGGCAAGTGTGAGTGGCCTCTGCCCTGTCCCCAGGCGTGCTGCAGGAGGAGGAAGACGTGCTGGTGAACGTGAACCTGGTGGATAAGGAGCGGGCAGAGAAAAACGTGGAGCTGCGGAAGAAAAAGCCCGACTACCTGCCCTATGCAGAGGATGAGAGTGTGGATGACCTGGCACAGGCAGGCGGGCCGCGGGGGCGGGAGCAGGGAACCTGGGCAGTGGGCTATGAGGAATGGGTGGCTCTGTGGCTTTTCATGAGCCAGGCTGGGTCCCAACCTGTACCTCTTGCCTTGCAGCAAAAACCCCGCTCTATCCTGGCCAAGTACGACGAGGAGCTGGAGGGCGAGCGGCCGCACTCCTTCCGTTTGGAGCAGGGCGGCATTGCCGATGGCCTTCGGGAACGTGAGCTGGAAGAGATCCGCACCAAACTGCGGCTGCAAGCTCAGTCCCTGAGCATGGTCGGGCCGCGGCTCGCCTCCGAGTACCTCACGCCAGAGGAGATGGTGAGCCCTCGGCTACTGCCCACACTTGTCACTGGGGCAATGAGCTAAGGAGGGAGATTAGGCTGCCAGCGGCGCTCGGTCCTTGTGGAGGAGCAGTGATTGGCTGCCCTGGGGAGATGCAGGGAGGTGGTGGGTGTAGACAGAACAGGGCAGTGGGCCAGGTGGACCTGCCTTCATGTTCAGGCTCTGCCACGTAGCCAGCCTGTGCCTGGGGTGAGCCACTTCACTGTGCGTCTGAGGCACCTGAGATGGGATGGTAGGGGCCACTCCGCAGGGCTGCTGCCAGGGTTAGGGGTTTGGCGAGTGGTCATGTTACAGCTGGGTGTGGGTTTTGCACTTGTGATGACTGAATGGACACAGGTCGACAGCTGGCTCAGTACAGTGCATGGCCAAGTGGCTGAGAGCAGGCTCTGGGGCCACAATCCCAAGAGTCACAAGCCCAGCTTTCCTTCTTAGTTGCGAGGTGACCTTGGGCAGGCACTTACTTAACCTCTGTGCCTCTGTTTTCCTCATCTCAATGGTGGGATGATACTCGCATGCACCTCACGTCTTGTTTCTGTATAAGAAGTGTTCATTCTCGTGGGCTGTGGCCGCCCGCTTCCCCCCTACCTCCTTCATGTCTCACTTCTCCCCGCTCCTCAGGTGACCTTTAAAAAGACCAAGCGGAAGGTGAAGAAGATCCGAAAGAAGGAGAAGGAGGTGGTAGTGCGGGCTGACGACTTGCTGCCTCTTGGGGACCAGACTCAAGATGGGGACTTTGGTTCCAGGTGGGCTTGGACACAGGTGGGGTCTGAGGGCTGGGCTGACCTACGGGCCGATGCTCACTGGAGAGGTCTCTTCCCCCCAGACTGCGGGGCCGGGGTCGGCGCCGAGTGCCCGAGGGAGATGAGGAGGCCCCGGAGGAGGAGGAAGAGAAGGAGCCGGTGTCTCAGCCCCCACCGTCAGATGACACTCGAGTGGAAAACATGGATATCAGTGATGAGGGTGAGGGGACCCCAGCTTGCTGAGGGTGGGGGGAGGGGCAGGGAAAAGGCCGAGGGTCCAGGAGGGTGATCTAACGGGCATCTCCTCTGTCCAGAGGAGGGCGGGCCACCACCTGGGTCCCCAGAGCTGCTGGAGGAGGATGAGGCGGAGCTGGAGCTGCAGAAGCAGCTGGAGAAGGGCCGCCGGTTACGGCAGCTGCAGCAGCTGCACCAGCTGCGGGACAGCGGCGAGAAGGTAAGGGGCCCTCAGGCTGTGTGCGGGCACAGGCGGCTGTGGGCCTCAGCAGGACAGAATGACAGGAGGCCTGTGATGGCCGGTTCTTAGGAGCACAGGCACCTGTGCCCTTGTAGGCTGCACCTGAATTCCAGTCTTTATTCTGTATTGATTTCAGAGAGGAAGGAAGAGGAGGAGAGAGAGAGAGAGAGAAACACTCATGATGAAAGAGAATCATTGTCTGTTGCCTCCTGCACACCCCACACTGGGGATTGAGCATGCAACCCAGGCATGTGCCCGGACCAGGAATCAAACCATGACCTCCTGGTTCATAGGTTGATGCTCAACCACTGAGCCACGCTGTCTGGGCCTGAGTTCCAATCTTGATTTTCTTTTTTGTTTAATAACATATTAGTTGCAGATTTTTAGATTTCTGTAGTGTTTTCACTGTATGATGTTTTAGGGTCAGACCCTTCCCTGTCTTCTGTGAATACATGTTGCATGCCCACTGTGAGTTAGGCATCACCCTAGTGGTTGGAGGGCACTGGTGAACAGGCAGCCAAGGGGCTCTGCGCTCATGGATCTGAATTTCTAATTGGGGTTTGGGGGAGAGACATCAGCGAACACGTGAACAAACAGTAATTTCTGATAGTGATTAGAGCAGAGAGACAGAACAAGGTGACACGAGAGAATACTTGGAGGGTTGGTATCTTGGGCTGGGTATTCAGAGAAACATCAACATGAGAGAGACACATTGATTGGTTGCCCCCTGCATGCGCCCTCACTGTGGCTCACTTTCCTATATGTTTCTAGAGAGCCGAAGCTGAACACGGCCTAGGCTCTCTCCTATTGCTTCTTTTATCCTAAGTCCTTTGCTTCACTGTCCTAGCTTTAATAAACATACTCTCAAAATAAAAAAGAAAGGTAATAAAATGGAAGGGAAGGGGTGCAGAAGTAGATGTGGTTTCTAGAAACTTCGCTGAGGAGGTTGCTGTTGGGCAGAGCAGTGGGGCTGTGGGTTTGAGGATGTTTTCAAGGAGGGGAGATCCCAGATAATCCTTGTGTGCTGATGGCAGTGACACTATAGAGAAGACAGTGGGTGCAGTCGGGGGATAATGTCAGGGGTGGAGTTTTGAGGGGCCTCGGTGCCATGCCAGGTAGGAGGGTGGCCTGAGGTAGGAGCAGGGTTTGGTCACCAGGGCCATGTAGGCTTTTGGATATTGATTCACAGGGCAGTAGGGAGCCATTGATGGTTTTGGAGCAGAGTGCGATTGATGCAGGTGCAGGTGGAGAGCGGTAGGGGTCAGGGAGGACATGGAGACCATCACAGGTTTGCTGCAGGCAGTAGGAATGGCTTGTCTTGCTACCACCAGGGAGGATCTTGGGTTCCTGGGTCTCAATGGCACCGCCCCAGGAACTTCTGGGTTTGCCCACAGCTGCTCCCTCCTCTAGGTGGTGGAGATTGTGAAGAAGCTGGAGTCCCGCCAGCGGGGCTTGGAGGAGGATGAGGATCCGGAGCGGAAGGGGACCATCGTGTTCAACGCCACGTCGGAGTTCTGCCGCACCTTGGGGGAGATCCCCACCTACGGGCTGGCCGGCAACCGGGAGGAGCAGGAGGAGCTCATGGTGAGTCTGCAGGCAGCTCCCCTCACTGACCTGCTCTGCTCTTGGCTGGCGGCCAGGTGTGGGCAGCAGTGTCGGGCCCAGTGGTCCTCGGTGATGAGCTGTGTCTGGATGGGCTGCCTGGGCTGACGCTGGTCTTCTGTCCTCCAGGACTTCGAACGGGACGAGGAACGCTCGGCCAATGGCGGCTCCGAGTCTGACGGGGAGGAGAACATTGGCTGGAGCACAGTCAACCTGGATGAGGAGAAGCAGCATCAGGATGTGAGTTGAGGGAGGAGCAAGCTGGGGGCTGGGAGGATGGACGGGCAGGGAACAGCCTTGTGGGGTTGGGGGCTGGGGCTGGAGGCAGACCACCTGGGCTCCAGCCCAGCTCTGAGATCCAGGGCTAGTTACTCAGTGTCTCAGAGCCTTCGTCTCCTCCCCCATAGATGGGGTCCATAAATCTCACAGGGTGTGGTGGGGGTGACTTTGGGTGAGGGGTGAGAAGTGTCATGTGGCCCACTCACCACCCTGTGCCACCCCCAGTTCTCTGCCTCCTCCACCACCATCCTGGACGAGGAGCCCATCGTGAATAGAGGGCTGGCAGCCGCACTGCTCCTGTGTCAGAACAAAGGTAAGGGCTCCGGGCACCATGAGCCCTGCCGGGGCCTGGGTGCTGTGACAGCCGGGTGCCTGCGTGGCTCCCCTGGTCCCCTCTGGTGTGTCTCTTGTTCTCAGTGCTATGAGCCACGCCCCCAGGACCCCTGAGCCACTCCTTTTGCACCTGTTGTGGGGCAGTCGTTGGAGTGTCTGGCCTGCTCTACATCACCCCATCTATTTTTATTGTTTTGTTAATCTTCACCCGAGGATATTTTTCCATTGATTTTTAGAGAGAGTGGAAGGGAGGGAGAGAGAGAAACATCGATGTGAGAGAGACACATTGATTGGTTGTCTCCTGCATGCGCCCTAACCAGGGTCGGAGGTTGAGCCTGCAATCGAGGTACATGTCCTTGACCAGAATCAAACCTGGGACCCTCTATCCTGGGCTGATGCTCTCTCCACTGAGCCATACGAGCTAGGGCTACATCACCCCATTTTTGATGGCTGTGCTCACATGTCCCTCTACAAAGCACCACTTACCCCTCAAGGCTCAGTGTCTCCCGAGGAAGAATGGGGGACTTGAAGCAGTCCAGGCTATGGCACAGAGCCCCTGGCATTAGGGTCCCAGCTGTGCCATTTACTTAGTGGCCTTTGACAAGGGCCTGATCTCTCTGAGTCTCTTTCCTTTGTCTGCAGACAGGCCTGATGCCTTTACTCCCACAGCACAGCTGTGAGGGTTCCACAGCACCTTCTGTGCAGTTGGGGACATCAGGCCTGCCCTGGGGCTGGGCCCCTGTTATGGGGTGGACATCCTGGAGTCTCACCACCCTTCTCCCCAGGACTGCTGGAGACGACAGTGCAGAAGGTGGCCCGGGTGAAGGCGCCCAACAAGTCCCTGCCGTCAGCGGTGTACTGCATTGAGGACAAGATGTGAGCACAGCAGGGGTGGGCAGAAGGCCAGGGGCTGGCGCCAGCTCGGGACTGCCGGAACCCAGGCAGGGTGGGCACCCAGGCAGGGTGGGCAGTGGCTGGCCCTGAAGCCCCTCTGTCTCTCGCCAGGGCCATCGATGACAAGTATAGCCGGCGGGAGGAGTACCGGGGCTTCACCCAGGACTTCAAGGAGAAGGACGGCTATAAGCCTGATGTTAAGATCGAGTATGTGGATGAGACGGGCCGAAAACTCACACCCAAGGAGGTGAGAGGCCTCTGGCACGGGGCCCTCGGGGTACCACGGGGTCTGGGCTCAGTGGACCACTGGCTGGGGCCCTGGAGAACTGTCCGAACCTCTGTGCCTTTGTTTCTCTCTCTGGTGGGCATCGCAGTCCCCCTCACAGGCCCGGCGGGAGGGGGGACAGGTGCCTTGGTCCTTTGCTCACCTGCCCCCTCAGTGGCTTGATGTGCCCTCAGGGCCACCGTTCTGGTGGCATATCCAGGCCCTGGACTGCCCCTGTTCTCACACGCGCTCCTGCTGGCAGCCCTTGCCTGACTCTCCTGCCTCCTCCCTGTGTCCCATCCTCACCCCCAGCCCTCTGCTCACACACTCCCCGGGTTTGCTAGCTGCCTCCCTCCATCCTGTGTCCTGGCCCGGCCTCGGCCCAGCAGGTGTCACTGGAGATCCTGAGGCCCCCAGCGCAGCACATCCTTCTCCTGAGCCCGTTTCCCCTTCTCATCCCGGCCCACCACCCCGGCTCAGGTGGGCCACCCCCCCCTTCGCCCTGTGGGACACAGGCGGCTCTAACATGTCCTGCCGTGTCCCCAGGCTTTCCGACAGCTGTCCCACCGCTTCCACGGGAAAGGCTCGGGCAAGATGAAGACAGAGCGGAGGATGAAGAAGCTGGACGAGGAGGCGGTGGGTGGCCCATGGGATGACTTGGGGTGGCTTTACATCTGCTGGTTCTGGGGTGGCTGGTGGGCTGCGCTGCTCCCTCCTTGTGCTGACTGGCTATGACCCCACAGCTCCTGAAGAAGATGAGCTCCAGCGACACACCCCTGGGCACTGTGGCTTTGCTCCAGGAAAAGCAAAAGGCCCAGAAGACACCGTACATCGTGCTCAGCGGCAGCGGCAAGAGCATGAACGC